GCACAAGCATTCCCTTTGGCAGCCTACAGCTGCTGGACTGAGAAGAGGCACCACACTGGAAGCCTCATGATGCCACAGACCCTTCGCACCTTGTGGGCACCTTCATTAGGAAGATTCAGCAAGAGATATGAACTGCCCTCAAAATGCCTTTTAAATGAAAAATAACAGCCCAGTAACATGGTGTCACTCACCTAGTGTAATTGACGCCTCCTTTGCTCTTAATTGCAAAGATATGCATGTCTTGGCTTAACGCACGTCATTATTTTGTTTATTGGGCCTAATTATTAAAACCATATCCCAAGACTTGTTGGGACTAATGTTAGAACTGGATGGGTCCCAGATTTAGTATTCTGCCCGTACAGAGTTTTGGAACATACTGGAACTGGGTAAATATTGGTTCCATCTGAATCTAAGTTTCTGATGCTGAGTCATGTTTCTAACACAGTTCTGAGATGCCCGTGTCAGAGTGTCTCCGGCTGACGTGACAGCCAGCAGGAGCAGGCATCCAACACCACACCAAAAGGCCCAGCCAGAAAGGCTCTGGCAGTCTCTGGGGAGAACCTGTCATGCTGCACAGGCATTGACTGTCCCACTAAAGCCAGCACCTCAACCCTTAGGAGAGAAAGTTCCTTGAAACTACAGTGGTTAAGACATGCAATTCCTTACCATTCAAAGCACTAAAATCTCTCCACCATGAAGAAAATGAGGAAGGATTACAAATTTTGAGCTGGCTGACTAGTTAGTAAGATTAATAATGATAGTTTCTGGTGGCACGATAAAACATTTGGTCAGGTTTTCAGAGTTACGAAATAGGTTTTTTAGAACCTGCATCGCCTGCCAGGGACATCGTTGACACCTCCTGCATCTATTGACTGAATTTACAATTGGCCCAGGGGAAGACCCAGCCCAGTTCTGCTCATGCTCCCCCCAACACTGTTTTCCGTTTTCACCAAACAGTTGCCTTATGTGGAGAGCCCAGAAGCTTTGCAAAAGTTAGAGCAGTCAGCATTTCATAATCTTTGCCAGTTTCTCTGACATCATCCTTTCTGTCATTTTAGATCATGTTTTGCTAATACACGGGGCATTATCTTCACACTTGGAAATTTCTTCTTACTTTATTACAGAATGAAAAGTTCCTCTTTTTTAATCCCCTTTTATTCTGCAGTGGATTGAGAGGTAAAAAAGTAAAAAAAAATATTCAAGTTACAATCTGGAGTGTATAACTTTCTGTATCCTGGAGCAGTTTTTCAGATTATTTTCATTTGTGATATTCCTGTAAACTTGTCAGAACATCATAGGGACTCTCCCTCACCCCATCCTCCCAGGCAAGTCTAGTCGCATCTCTAGCCTTGCCCGCATCCTGCGTGCCACAAAAATGCAGGTGTTCAGTGCCACCTGTGCACACATATGCACATGCACACGGCTATCCTTCAACTCTTCATCTATGATCAAAAGTCATCATAGGGATAGAGGAAGACCTAGATATCCTCACAAACATGAAGGCACGGATTGTGGTCTACCCATGTGGGGACTACCAGGAGCAATACTCCACAGCGCGTAAACCAGGCACCCCGGGAGCCAGACCCAGCAACCTCACTTTTAACAAGCTCACCTGGGGATTTGATGCAAATACTACTTTGAGAGCACTCCCAGAGCTCCCCCTGTGTGCTACAGATGCAAATAAGCAGACATGGGGCTGCCAGCTCTCTTACTATTCAGCTAGGCAGGGGCTGGGCTGGCGTACCTCACAGTCAAAAGCTGGTTTTGCTTCCAAGGAAGAAAACGATTTGTATCTGATGTTCATATGGTATGGGAGAGGTTTTCTCCTATTTAAAAATATTTTGGAGAGAGGAGAAAGACCAGAGAAATAGCCATTAGATATAGTCTTCATATCTTGTTTATTATTTTTATAATATATACTGTGATTATAGCTCTAGAGTCTAGAGCTCTAAAATAATCTTGACTGGCCCTCTGATTCATCCATCCACTCTACTTCCCTGAATTCTTATCATCACACAGCGTAGTTTTTATTCTTCTGTTTTTTCCACAGCATAATTTATTCTCAAATGTTCCTTTAGTTTATAGGCTACTGAGAGCCATCACAGATAATCAAAATGTTCTTCCCAGTAGCAAGTCCAGATCCTTCTTGTGTAGTGTAAATGCATTTCTTTAATCCTGTTACATCCCATTAAATCCTCCATCAATACTTAAATGTTCTACTCATCCATCTCTCCATTTTTCTAGTAAAAGAACATCTGGTCATAAATCAAATAATTTAGCAGTTAGAAAATATAGCTAAGATTTATGATAATCTGTTCTAGTGCTGTGTGCCCCTGATGGTACACAAGATAATGTATGTGGCACAGAGACCTGGCCTTAAATAATATTGAGTCACAGAGTAAAAAGGTAATTCCCTCTCAATCATTTTTCAATCCTCCCGATTCCATTTAGGAGAGTCTCTATTGCATGCTAGTGTGTCTTTGATGCCCCTCTAATACTTACTAACATCCCTACCTAACATCTACAGAGCAGGCCTCAGGGTCAAAGCCTTTAACAGCAATTTTTAAGAGCTCCATCAGAATGCTTATATGCCACAGGAAAAAGCACATTTAGCAAAATATGTTTTTTACACTGAAGACCTTTTTGTTTATGTTGAGGCTCAACCAAAAAATAGTTCTGGTCTGTTGAGAGGCAACATAAATGATCTATTATCATGTACTCCCACAGGTTTATTGAATCAAAGGTTATTTAACTTACATCTTTTAAAGATATAATTTAATGTAGAAAACAGAGTTTGGGACTTGGAGACAGATAGAACTGGTCTTGAACCTTACCTTCAGACTTACTAGCTCTATGATTTTGGGCAAGATAATTCCCTTTTCCAAGTCTTTATTACCTTATCTGCAGAATGCAATTTATAATTCCCACTTAAGATGTTGTTCTGAAGATTAAATACATTATCTCCACAAATATTTATTGATCACCTCCTATGTGCCAGGTTCTTGTCTAAGTGTTACAAATAGCACAGTGAACAAAGCATAAGATTGCCATTCTTGAACAGCTGATGGTCTTGAATTGAATATTTCCTTCTTGGTTCTTGTGTCATTGAAGCACAGTAGATAAGAACTGGATTTCTTGTACCTATACTTCTCAAGCAAGTATTCCTCTTGCTGCTTCGGATTTTGAGTTATAACTGAGCTGCTAAGGGTTACTCAGAGATTCAGCAGAACCATTTATAGAGTTTTACAATTGTTCTAATTCATAAAATTTTACCTGCAGGGCAACATTTATATTTGCTATAAATAATATTTTGCACTATTTTTGCTTTTGTTAATATATGTGGTTTATTGGTAAACATAATGTGCATGATAAATTTTTGGAGAGGTAGATATACATCTTCTAATACCTGGAAATTCTGCATGATAAGCTGCTAAGTTACCCTGATATAGAAAAACCTTCTCCTAAGATTTGCCACTAGCCAAACTGTCCCAGGCACAGCTAGCCATAAAAAGATATTTTGTCATTGGTTAAGATACTAGTAGAAACATCAGTGATGAGAATCATTGATCGGCTGCCTCCTACATGCCCCTATTGGGGATTGAACCTGCAACCTGGCCATGTGCCCTGACCTGACTGGAAATAGAACCTTGGCCTCCTGATTCATAGGTGAACACTCAACCACTGAGCCACGCCAGCCAAGCACCAGTCTTAATATTTCTTACAAAATCTTGTTCTATTTTTTTCTATGAATATAAAAAGTAGCTCCAAAAACATTCACCTTGATATCCCCGCTATCTCTTTTTCTGACAAGGCCTACCTACAACCTGTTTCCATTTTGCTATAATACTTAGAGTTTCAATATCCTGGCTTTTCCTTGAATATGCAAACAATACAGCAAGAGCTTCTAGAACAAAGATTCTTTCATTGCTGTTAAGGGGGTCTAAATAGAATTCAGACTTACTGATACTTCAGTTCTTAGTTCTGTCATCTTCTTACTCTTGGGAAGCTCTACAATGTTAGAAGATAAATCTATATCCTGAGCCTGGTTTTACCGAAGAAGTTCTTTGTCTCTTATATCTGTCCACCAAATTTCAACCTACAACACTTGACTTTCCTTCCTTCCTACCATGTGGAGGAGATAAATTTCATCCTCAACCTGGCTCCCTGAACTGAGCATATAGAGTAGCCACTGGGTCCAAAAAACAAGTGGTAATGTTCCACCCAGCTTCATTAGTGTCTGCCTTCAAACATCATATCTAAATCCATGAACTACTGGTGCAAACTGGTACCAAACTGAAGCTAATTTGGCAATATCCATAACTTATTGCTAGTACACACAGAATTTGGCATTATGTATCAACATAAGTCAAAATCTTTATAGCTTTTGACTACAAGAAAATAATTTAACATTCAGATATCCATACAAAGACTTCTACAAAAGATATTTACTACATTTTTACAAGTGAAAAATTGAAATCTTTTACTACTTACTGTCCAAAAACAGGAATTGGTTAAATAAATTTTGGTACATCTATAAGGTGAAATTTTAAGCAGCTATGGTCATGGTTGATATTCTTAGAAGGATTTTTAGAATAGCATATCAGGAATTCTCATGCTACAATTTAAAATAAAATGAATGCACAGTATGATCTTAACTATGTATAAGAAGGAGAGGAGAGACATATACCCAAATATTAACACGGGTTATTTTTATTCCTTTCTTGTTCCAATTTTTGTTCCAATTTTCTTCCTTTATGCCTTTCTGTGTTATAGAAATTTCTTGTAAAATGCATAAATAAAATTTCAAAAATTAAGATACAAAAGCAAAATACCAATGGAGCAATTGATGCTTTCTGTGTTTTTGTGTCCATATGCTATTCTCTGATGTGTTGCTTTCGCTAGGGATTTACACTACCCATTCTCTGACTAAAGACAAGGCAAAACCACTATGGATGGGCGATGATGAGAACCTGTGTCACCTGGTCTCTGTTCTGTTTCAGCACACGACAGTTTTGCCCTTTATATTGATCGAGATGAGGACATCACACCATGGGTATCCCAGCAGGAGCAGCGGACTCACTACCATATGTACCTTCTCTCTTGGCTATATATTATGGTAAGGACAGTGCCTGCTGCGCTTTAGTATTGTATTAGATTTTGCACTGCTAAATTTGGGCACATATTTCATTATGGATATAATCACTAACAGATTCATACTGCGTGCCTCATTTGGTCCAAGACCTGGGCTTTGTCTCATTTCCCCAGATGCTTATATTTTTAGAAAGTATATGCCAAACCTCACACAACAGGAATTTGTTGAACAATCCCATGTAAGCAGTGGTTCTTCCAAGGCTACATTTTTCAACTCTTTTTCAAACTAAATGTTGTTCTTGGACAACGATTTTATTGCTTAAGGGCTTTTTTTGCTTGGGATTTTTTGTTGTTGCTTTTGTTGGGGAATGGGGGAGTTGTAGCGAATGCAAATAAGGATAGGAGAAATGACCTCTTAGAGACATGACTTTAAACTTCATAGGAAACAAGTGAAAATATACAAGTCAGTTTAAAACCTATTCCAGATTAGTTATTACATATAGCATGCATTTAGTGGTTTTGTTTTTTTAAGTTGGGGTAAATCTCTAATTTGTCTATTGGGCATGAATAGGTCCCAAGCCGGAGATTCCAAATTTATCTGATAAGAGGTTTTGCCTGATAAGTTTATTACACATTAATTGCAGTTCCTACCATGTTTTAATGTTTCAAAATTGTTTATCTTTAGAAAATTTCTTATTTCTCTTTATAATTCCAAGTTCTCTTTGATATATTAGCTTACACAGCAGAGGTCTCTCCTGCCAGCATTTCTATCTCTCAGGACTCTCTTGCCCTGAATTCTGGGTCACCATCCCCTCCTTTAAGCCTGAAGGACTAAAGAACATTCTTCCAACATCCCCTCCCCAACTGTGCTTAATCCCATCAAGCTCCTGGAGCGCTTTGGAAGGCCCAGTGTCCATGGAGCGTTTAGCTTCAGCCAGCCCAGAAATAGAGAATGAAGGTCAGCGCAGTTCTTCACATACTTTGCATGAATGCTCACATAATGTCTCAGATCTGAACAGAAAGGGAATTTGCGTCTAGGAAGTCACACTCTATGACCAGCTCTAAGGGGACATCCAGACTGCAGACCTCAGAACAAACGTGCAGTAATGCTCATTCCATCTGCCACTTCATCGACTAGTCAAAGACCATTTGTGAGGACTGGGGAACATTTGTTTTCCTAGTCACTGTCTAGATCTTCTTTTTCCACCTAAAGTATTCATTTTCTCTGACAGGAAAGCTCCAAATGATCAGGGCTTACGGGTAAAGTAAGACTGTGAAATTACATCTTAAAAATTCATGTATGTGCTTTATACATATGAACTTGATAGTCAAATGACTCTTATCTTTCAGAAGAGCCATGTGGGGAAGCTACACAATTATTCAAGGGCGCTGCAGTGTTCACAACATACCTGGGAGTGCCCATAGCATTTAAGCCTCAAATGCCCTTCTCTCTTCCCTCCCCAAAATACATTTTTATTATTTTGCACTCATATTTGCTTACCTGTGGGAAGGGAATTTTTTTACTCTGGATATATTTCCACAAATTCACTTATATTCTGTTAAATTATCTGAATCTTATAAAGCCCCAGAGGTTTCAGGAACTACATACTTTCCAATGGGCTTTCTTTCCACTGGAGGTAAAATCAGTCCGAGTTTCAAAGAGACACGTGGGAAATACCACATCGTCTTCATTATAGACCCCCAAGATACCTCATTAAAATGAAGCATTACTCACGCTCTTCACGCCAAGTGAGGCTTGCCAGTGCTGAGTACTCCCTAAGCAAACCAGTACTTGTTTGGACATGTATTTGCATTAACTAGCGAATTCTCTCAGATATATGCTGAGAAAGCTTTCAAAACAGACTTTTTTCTTTGGTGTTCTGCCCTAGGCATTCACGGGTATGCCAAGACCTAAACAATGTCCCACACATCATGTCACTTTATATAAATCCAAAGATTTTAATTGTTATAAAAAAGATGCTGGTTTTTGCTCCCTTTCAGACTATCTCAGAGCTGATGAACCAGCAGAAGGTTCAGGATATGAAATCTCTTAATAGCATACCAGGGTTGTGACTGGACATTCCAGAACCTCGTGCCAAAATGGAAGAAAGCATTCCTCTTATCACATGCTAAATATAAAATAAATAGGTCTCCCTTCCAATTCTCTGTATGTGTGAGCTGAACCTATACCTTGCAGGCTGCTGGCCAAGCTGGCTATCTGCTTTGCTCTGGTTCTAGCTTTCTCTCCATGTCACAAGTCTCCCTCCCTATCTGAATCTGTTCTTTTCCTAGATTTAGATAGCGAGTGTTGACAAAGCGAGGGATACCAGAACTTTCTCTAATGCACTGGAGCCCATGGAGCTCACACCCTCAGTGGCGATGACTAAAGTAATACTAATCTTTAGTATATGTAAAGCACATAGAACAGTACTTAGCACAGAGTGGATACCATGTTAATATCGTCAACCCACTCCAATGTAGTTTAAGCTTCATTATTTTAGCAAAACTTTTGCTGACACCATGAGTGACTTCTGTTTTGCTGAATTCCACGAATGCTTTGTAGACCTCTTCTCAATGGACATTTCAGTAGTTTCCATATGAAAACATTCCCCTTCCTGAATCTGTCTCTTCCGACTTAGGTGATATAACAATCTTCGTGTTTTCCTCCCAGTTTTCAAAATTGATCCCTCTCCGCATCACTTAATGGTTCCTCCCACTCTACCCAAACCTCAGTGTTGGAACTTTATGGAGCTCAGCTCTAGATCATCTTCCTTTTTTTTTAATGTTATTGTGGTAAGAATACTTAACTTGAGATCCACCCTCTTAACCTAGGTCCTCTTCTTTTACTACCTACTGTCCCTAGGTAAATCCATTCACTCTGTATTTGCAACCACCACCATCCCAGATCTATATAGCTCAGAGCTCTTTCCCAATATCTACTCACAAGATTCGCACACTTAGCAACTACAAGACAAATTCATATAGCACCTGCTTTCCCAATCACACCCTCAAATTGTATCCCTTGGCATTGCCAACCACCCAACTGTTCATGGCATAAATCTATGAGACATCCTCTCCCCATCTCTCTTAGACCTACAGTCTTTCCTCATTTCTGGCTTTTATACCTTCAAAGTATTAGAATTCTTATACTTTTCTCCCTCTCTACTGCCAACACCATGGTTTGAGCTTCAGTTATCTCTCTCCTGAAACACTGAATAGAACTGGCATTCCCCCACAACCACCTCTATTCATAGGACCTTGAGTGACTTTTTTAAAAACACATGTGATCATGCCATCCTCTTGCTCAGAGTGTATGGATGACTTCCCAATGCTTCTAGGGATAAAGTCCAATATTCCTTTACATGGATTACGAGACCCTGCATTGCCTGCGCCTTCCAGCCTCTCTAGCTCCAGCCACAGTGACCTTCTCTCTGATTGTCAAGAGCAATACATTCCTTCCAATTCAAAGCTTTTGTCTTCTCCACCACTCAACTCTCTCTCTCCCCCAGTCATCTCTCCCACAATTTGTAATCCAAATCTTACTCATCCTTCAGGTCTCAGTTTATGTATCTCTTTTTCAAGACCTTCCTTTTCCTGATTCTTGAGACTTGGCTCAGCCTCTCTGTGGTACATTACTATAATCCCTGTTCATTTCTATGTAGGGAGTTAAAAAATAAAGACAGTTGGTTTTATGTGGTTATTTGGTTAATTTTTTTCAAAGACTGGTACCCAAATTCTCTCCCCTCACTATCTAGAGCAGTGGTTCTCAACCTTGGCTGCACATTAGAATCACCTGGGAATCTTTTTAAAATCCTGATTTCTGGGCCTCATCCTTCGGAAATTCTGTTCCTTTGTTACGGGGCGGGGCCACAACATTAGTAACAAAAAACTAAGCCAGAGAGAAACCAAGATGGTGGCATAGGTAAACACCCAAAATTGCTGCCTCACACAACTACTTCAAAAATACAACTAAAAGACAAAACGGACATCATCACAACCACAGGAAGGCTGGCTGAGTGGAAATTCTACAGCTAGAAGGAAAGAGAAAAGTACACTGAGGCTCAGAGGAGGTGTGGAAGTAAAGTGCACAGGTACGAAGGTGCCTGCAGAAAGGGCTGGCTACTGAGGACGCGGTTGTCTTTTTCAATTGGGAGGGAGACACAAGCTCCTGACTGCTCTAAACTCCAGTGCCAGGCGAGTCTCTGGGGACCTAGACTCATATGGGGAGAAACTGGACTGTCTGGCAGCGGGTAGAACTCGAGGGTGGCTTTCTCTCAGAGCTGCTTGCAGCGATTACCAGGACACTGAGACCTCTTAGCGCAGGGCTGAGGATCAGCCACAGCTATTTGCTCCGACCTATTGATTCCCGAGACCCCACCCCACCCAAGCTGTGTGCAGAGACTTTTGCATATGAATGGCCTGGCCCTTTGCAATCTAAAATTACCTACCAAACTGCAGCTGGCTCAGAGAGACCCAGAACTTCCAAAAGAAGGCCCAAGGCCCCACAGCAGCTTGCATTGCTTCACAGCTGGGTTTCATCTGGGCACTTCCAAACCCCAAACAAAGAGGAGGAATCTGCAGATCTCTCTGTAGTCCTGGTGGGTGACCTCAGGAAGTGGCTGACTTTGCACCTCCTTGGAGATCCAAGAGCCAGTGTACCCAGTGGTCAGCATGAGACCATACCAGATTACAACTCTTCACATCCATAAGCGACACACTCAAGGGGCAGACTCAGTGAGCACCAAAGCTCCACTGAAGCAAGTACTGCTCCATAAGGGTGTCTCCAGCACATCAGTTCTCCAATTGTAGACACAGCTAGCTGGTCCTCACAGCCAGTTTGCCTGGTGGTCAATTCATCCCAGTGATAACAACAGCAATCAAGACTTAAATACAAGACTGTGCACACAGCCCACAAAGG